ATTTTATAATTTATATAATCGGAATTTTCACTTAAAATCTCTATATTTAGAAAATGGATGTAATTGCCAACCGGGTTTAATCTCTACCACCTAATTAATTGTCATGTGAAACGAAACTATACGTACCAACTTGTTTCCTAGATTCTCGAATAATAATAGATCATAGGTTATTACGGACAACCTCGATATTCTATTCTTTGTCAAATTTCATTAGATATATAGATTATACTACGTTTCAATAATTTCCCAGAAATAATGTAAATAATAATAATAATCGAATCGAAATTGTTTTTAAACCAGAAATTTAAACATGTGTAGCAATGTAAAATTTTCCGTCACTATATGCCTTAATATCCGAGAAGACGCGTTCGCTTTGTTTTCCACGAGGTTCAAAACCCTCGAAAGACTCTAAAGATACGACTTTAGCACCTTTTTTTAGGCCAAGAAAAAGATTGTACAAAAATTGGTTTGTCTCTGGTGAGAAGGTCCGGTTATTAGCCAAAATAACATCCGCAGAGTATAAAATATTAATAAAATCTGGATGGTTGATATAAATATCTTTGAAGTCACCCGATAAAAATTCAACATGTCCTATTTCTAATCCATATAATTTTCCTCGGGTCATAATCTCCTTATATTGCTCGTTGGCAAGATCAACAAGCTTTTGCTGCAACTCATATCCATATCCAGTGCATCCAGTGGCAATACCTGCATACAAAATCGTGTTTCCTATGCCACTACCCAAATCAACAAAAATGGTGTTACTTTTAATTTTTGTTCTGATGATAATGTCATGTATAAAGTCGGCATTAAGTTCACCATAATTTAAGTCAAGGTTGGAAGTAATATTGGTGAGGCGCTCCACGCGAGGACCGATGATTCGGTCATAAGTTTGCCCTATCACGTGATTTATTATTTGAATGTATTGGGGCTCGGCCGTGTTTCTCTCAATAATATATTTCGGCCATAACTTTCTTGAATTTTTGCGAATGTCCATTATGATTTTGTTGTATCTTTGTATTTTTGGTTAAATTATTATTTAAATTTTTTTCAAAATAAATATTTGTATTATTAAATTAAAATTAAAAATT